CCTCTCTCTCATCTCATCAGGCCCCATGGGTTTAACTATCATTTCAACACAGATGATTCCAGATCTACCTCTGTAGCTCTCATCTTCCTTCAGAGCTCAAGAACCACGTAAGTTAAGTCAAGTCAAGTTAATAAACATTGATTGAGCGCTTACCATGTGGCAGATATTTTACTAAGCACTTGGAATACAAAGAAAGCAAAAATATAATCCCTGCTTGAAGGATCTCACATGCTGAGATAATATGTGAACTTAATAAATCTATATATAGATAAATTATTATATATGGATAAGTCTATATAGAGAACAGATGGAAAGTAATCTTAGAGGGGAAGGCAATAGCAGCTGAGGTAACTGACCAGAAAAAACCTCTGGGAAAAGGGAGAACATCTGCTGAGCATTGAAGAAAGTCAGGGAAACCAAGGCTGACGCACTTGGGAGGCACCTCCGCCTAATTGTCCCAGGAGCATCTACAAGTCAATGTTCACAAGAGTAATGATCTTTCCCCTCCTTAGAAACCAAGCCTGTTTCCTGACTTTTCTATTTCTGTCAAGGGCACCACCATCCTAACAGTCACCAAGGTTTGCAAATGTGAAATCTTTTATTCTTCACTCTCAGCCATGCCACATATTGAGTGGATGACCAAGTGTCATGGATTCTATCTCCTCTGTCTTTTGAATCCTCACTTTTCTTTTCACACACACACACAGTTACCAGCCTAGCTCAGACAACTTGCCACCTCTTTCGTGGACAATATCACAACAGCGTTCTCCTTTGTCTCCCTTCTAGGGTCTCTCCTCTCTTCATGCTCCACACAGCTACCAAATGAATGTTCTCAAAGTCCAGGTCTGACCGCATCACACCTCTGCTCGAAAACTTCAAGGACTTCCTAGGACCTCTAAGATAAAATACGGAAATCTCTTTTTTCATTTTTATTTTCATCACTTAAGGCCCTTTACAATCCAGCTCTTATCTTTCCAGACGGATTTCTCAGTACTCTCCCCTTTCACACACTCCATTCCAGCCAAAGACCAAGACCCTGGTATTGCTGTTCCTGATAAGGAATAATAGTTCATGCAATGCTTTCTACAGAATAGTCCATATAATGCCTCCTGTGGAATAGTTCACATAATGCCTTCTATGGAATCGTCCATGTAATGCCTCTATATCTTTGCTGTCCCTCTTCACATCTGCTTTTGGGAGTCCAGAGCTTCTTTTAAAGCTCAAGGATCATTATGTCTTTTGTATCTCCAGGGTCTCACACATAATATGCCAGTAATAAGTGCTGATAGAATTGAACTTATTTATTTATTTTTGTGTTTTTTTGTTTTTTTGTTTTCGTTTTTAGGCAATTGGAGTTAAATGACTTGCCCAGGGTCACACAGCTAGTAAATGTCAAGTGTTTGGTCTGAGGCCGGATTTGAACTCAGGTCCTCCTGAATTCAGGGCCGGTGCTCTATCCACTGCACCACCTAGATGCCCCTTGAATTGAATTTAAATATGGCACCATGAGACCAGTTCATGGTAATCTCTAGTACCCAAACCTTCTGTAACCAGGCTACCCTTTTGGGGTCTTTTCTTATCCAAAGCTGACACCCATCTCTGCCCCTGAGCAAAAATCTTTGCCTTCTTAGGATCAGATGATTAAAGATTTATTGCTGGAAAGGACTTTAGGGGGTCAGTGAGTGGAGCCTTATTTTATAGATCAGGTTCAATGGGGCTATGTGTGACCCAAGGTCATACAGGTAGATAGTAAGTGGCTGAGCTGGGATTCAAACCCAGGTGCTCTGACTCCAAATTCCATGTTCTTTCCAATGGTTTACATGTTCTGCTCTTCTCTTTCCTGTCGCCATTCCCCTCCCACCTCAGAAACCACAGGACTAGCTCTAACCTCCATAGGTCCTAGAATCAGACATCATCTGCCAAGTGTTGCCCTGAGGCATTTGGTGTTCAGTTGACATCCTGGAACCTCCAACGCCTTGTAAAGTCCCATAGGCACTCAGTCAATACAGGTCGGCTCAGTGTTATACTGACATTGATTAGTTTGCCTGGGCCATTTTTTCCCTATTATGTTAGAAGCTCAACATAAATCCTCAAAGGTGTTCAATATTTAATTTTATTAGTTCTTTCCTTCGAGAACAAAGTATGAAATGAATGCTTTAGAGGATGCCATGTAATGAAAGAATATACACTTCAACAGGACCACTAACCAGAGTGGTAGAAAATGGTGCCTGGAGACTTACACTGGAACCATGGTCCTCTTCCACTTACTACCTGTGTGACCTTGGACAAATTATTTCCCCATTTTAACCTTCAGTTTCCTCATCTGTAAAATAAAGGAGTTAGCCTCGGTTTCCTAGGTTCTGTTTTGGTCCATATCTAAGTAGACGTAAGAACAGCCTGCTTTTGGGCTCTCGTAAGATGAGGTCTTAAGCTGACTCAGTTTTACTTCTACTCCTTTGATTTCTTGCTTCTGAGCCCAAAGAAGCAACTTTCTGCCTGGCTATATGGACATTTGGCAAGAGATAGCACTCTCTGTCTTTGGCTAGCTGCCCAAGAGAACTGCATTTTGTGCTACAAAATCACATTTAATGCTACATTTGAGAAGCTCTCAGCAGGAAATAATCAGGTGACCCAGCATACCATCTATTGTGCATTCTCCATCACGTCTTATAAATATCTGACAGTTCATTCCTTGCAGGGCCCATACACCTGCTCTCCCATTTTCTGACATCAGCAAAATGACCTTTTTTTGGTGTTGTTATTTGTTTGTTTGGGAATGTAGGGGAAATATCTCTATGGTTCTCTATGCTAGAATGAAACACAAGGACATGAAGGCCTGAAAGGAAACCCTTTAAAAGCAGATAGAGCAAAAATTATACCGTACCATCAGTACTCAATCAACACTGGCTGGCTCAGTATCCTGTGTCCTGTTTCCCTGAAGAGCTATGAGAGAGGGAGGGACTTAGACCTTTGGTATTGGGAGCTCCCAATGAAGAAAACTCTCTCAATCAATGCAGATTGACACCTTCTAATTTTAGAGAGTTGCCTAGAGAAATAAAAGGTTAAATGACTTGTTCAAAGTCACAGCCCATATGTATCAGATATAGGACTTGAGCCCGGATTTTCCTGACTCCAAGAAAGGCCGTTTGTCCCCTGGCAACTTCTTTTCTTCTCTGGTTTACAGAGGACAAGTTGAAGAAGGAAGCTCATTCAAAACTGTCCAACTTCGTCTTTTTGCTCAGAATGATGCCAACACAGATGGATAGACGTCCATGGATGGATGGTTGGATGGATGGACAGAGATGTTTGCTTCCAGGTGCCATTTGCAATGTCACTGGCCTCCCCTCCCCACCAGACTTCAACCACCTCAAAACTCACACCAGAATTTGAGTTCAACCTGCAGCAAAAAGTCCTTGAATATGTCAGCTTTAGATTCTTCAAAAGAGGCGCAATTTACATGTGACATTTCACTGGAGAATAAATTTCTGACACCTATAGCCAACTATGGGAAAGTGGCTGGTTTTCTTAGCATTTTGGGTCTGATTCTTCTATAGTCCTCTTGAAAAAATTCTTTTTCCATTGAGAGAACCCATTGTATTTGTTGCCATGGAGACTAGCAATTTACAAGACTTACATGGTGATTTCCATTTTGGACATTTTATATTGTTGGTAAATATTTCAAGTGTTTTTCGATAGTGAATACATATGTGATAATAGCTAAATTTGCATGAACTTATGTATGACAAATTAATATGCAGGACAGCTTAAGACCTGCTCAGAATAAGGTAAGTCATTCAATGATAGGTTAACTCTAGAGAAAGGTTATAAGTAACGAAAACATGAAACTACTACCTCTGACTTGTCCCAGCATCACAAGTGAAAACAAATAACCAGTTAGAAGCTACTTCTAAAACCTCTAGAGGGGTTGAGAGCCTTGATATGAAATGCAGAGCAAGGCAGTAGAACTTATTTCCTCTGAGCTAGAGATTTGTTTACGTTGCTTATCTCCAGGTCACAATAACATTCCTAATGACATTAGACTCCAGAAGGCTGTTTGAATTTGAACAGGACTGATTTGCTCCTGACACCTGGGCTGGCTTTAGCAGCACCAGCCACTCCTAGGTAATTTGAGAGACCCTGGGAAGACCTCCAGGCCAAAACAATGACCCCAACCCAAATTCTATCATCAGAGGCTCATCCTTATTATTAAGCATTGCCTTCTCTACTCAGCCTTCTTTTCAAATTCAAACCTGATTAGAAGGAATAACCTTTTTCATCTTTTTTTACCATGAATAAATTTGCCAATTACACTTTGGGCTTCCTGGTTTTGGTGAGAGAGGACACAGAAAAGTGAGAAAGGTGGAAAGGGTAACGTAATGGGGAGGTGAGGTCAGTATTAACTCTTACTTACTTTACATTCAGGGGGCAGCTAGGTACTGCAGTGGATAAAATGTTGGACATGCAGTCAGGAAGACTCATCTTCCTAAGTTCAAATCTGACTTCAGACACTTGCTAGCTGTGTGACCCTGGGTAAGCTACTTAACCCTGTTTGCCTAAGTTTCCTCATCTGTAAAATGAGCTAGAGAAGGAAATGGCAAACACTCCAGTATCTGCCAAGAAAACTCCAAATGGGGTCACAAAGAGTCAGACATGATTGAAAGGACTGAACAACAACAACATTACATTCAATCCTGCCTAATGCTAATCTCCCTCCCCATTGCCAGGTTATTGTTCATCCTTCGTTCTAGAGAAGAGGACCATAACATCAGGGAGGTGGTGCCATGACATGCAAGTGAATTGGATTAAATGAGGGAGAACTCTGCAAAGTCACCAGCCTCACTTTCTCCTCTGGAACCATCAGGGTCCAGTGGCAAGACAAAGATCAGGACAACTGGAGATGGCCCTGGATGCAGTGGGAGACCTTAGCCTTTGTGCTAAGGTCTTTAACAGGCTTCCAATTGACTGTGGCAACACCTCCCATCCCCAGTGAAATTACTTACCAAGGCCCAAGCAGGAAACTCTGAGTCCTGATTTTCCAAGATTCCTAGAATAAGAAAAGGAAATTATATTAATAATGCCAAAGTGAAAATTGTATACATTTTTTCTGTCTAGAAAACAGGAATCCATGAATATTATCATCAAGCTTTAATTATGAACATTCTTCCTTAGTACTGCCACAGAGATAGGAGCTAGAGGGGGAAAGTATGTGGGCTCTTAGGACATTTCTTTCCTCCACAAACTCTCTTGAAGACATGAAAACTCATTTTCAAAAGAGAAAAAAAATTCTGTCACTGACAGATCAGAACACTTTTTCCATCTCATGGTGAACCCACACAGAGATTCTTCCTCATGTCAAAGCTCAATAAGCTTATGTTTTTTTATAGCAAACCTGCATTTCAAAAAAATACTCCTAGAGGAGGGTGGCTAGAGTTTCCTTTTTAGAATCATTTATTAAGCACCTACTGTGTGCCGGGCACTGTCCTAGGTAGTAATACAAAGACAAAAAATGAAATATTCTTTACCCTCAAGGAGGTTATGATCTACTACGTGGGGAGAGAGCAGACAAGAAAGGAAAGAGAAAATTTAAAAAAAAACCAACAAAATGTAAGTAGTCATTCTGGAAGTCTTCATTCAATGTTGTCTATATAGTGAGGCATTACAAAGCATGCAAAGGTAAGAGCTCCCAGAGACTTGCCTTCAGGAAGCTAGGCTTTCCTGTCAGGATGAGAAAAGCAGTGATGGCTTTCACTAAGCGCCTGCTCTGTTCCCCACACCATGCTAGGTTCTGGAGATATGAAGGACAAATCACGATAGATCCTGCCCTCAAGGAGCTTACATTTTACTTGGATTAGAAGAGATTACTTTTCAAACTCCCATTCTCATCACTTCCTTCCATTGCTGTGCCTCAGTTTCCTCATCTATAAACTGCGGGAAATACTATTTGTCTCATCTATCTCAGAGTTGTTGTGAAGCCAAAATAGAAAATGTATCTGAAGGCACCAAGTTTTTCAATTCCAACCACTTATTCCCTGACCCTAGCTTTTCCATTGTAACTGAACCTCCGAGAATAAACTACTCTGAAAATGTATTCACCGTGTTCTCTTAGGTTAAAAAAAAAATTCAAGCTTTCAGTAGTAAAAAGGTGATGTCCCTTTAAAAACACTTTGTGTAGGAAATAGCTAGGTCAGCAGCGGCTTACACACCTAAGAGTCCCCGAGCAGGGAGCTTCCATTGTATGCTCAAAACCTATTGACCCAGACAGACTGGGTGGAAACCACGGGAGGGGGATGCTTAGCAGATGAAAAGAAGGGAGATACAGAAGAAACCTTGTGATAAGGTGGAAGAATCACTGCCTTAAGAGTCAGGGAACCTGGCTTCAAATTCCCTCTGTGCCCTTCCCTGGGCCTCAGTTTCCTCATCTGTTCAAATGAGAGGGGTCAGGAACAAATGGTCCCAGGGTTCCCTTTTCATTCTAAATCTGATGCATAGTTGAACCCCCCCCAATCTGCACAGAAGGAATCTGAGACCAGGAGAAGTGAAATGAGTGTGGGAAGTATTGATGGTGGGATTTGAACTCTGGTCCTCTGATGTCAAATCCAGTGTTTTTCCTATGACATAAGCCTACTTCTAAAAGTGGGTATCATGAGTAGATTTTTTTTTCACCAGGGTCATCCACCAGGTTGGCTCCATGGATTCCATGAAGCCAATTCTCCTATTACTTTGTTTCCTGTAGGCAGAGACTTAGCTGGCAGAAAGCAGGGATGACGCTTAGCATCCCTAAAATACAGCGGGAATTACAAAACACCATAGACCTGGGAGGCAGGCTAGCTAGTTTCTCCAAAGCATTATGTTTACAATTTGGTATTTACCACAATTTCCAGAATCTCAGGCTTGGCCTTTCACTAGGTGTGACCAGGTGAATCTCAGACCATATAGTGCTTATGGGAGAAATTTACCCACTCTATAGACAGTAAGACTAGAAATTCCAATTGCATTCACTAAATAGTAGTAGCTAACATTTATTGAGAGCTTTAAGGTTTGAAACTTGACATGCATACATATATACATATCTGTATAGAATACATATATATATATATATATAAATATACACATGCAATAAATGTATCCTCCTGAATTCCCATACTCCCATGAGAAATAGTTCAAGAAAGTAACGTTATACCTTTTATTTTCCAATCTGTCAGTCTTATAAGCAGCTGGAGATAGGGTGGAGAGTTGGGGTGGGGTAGGGAGGAAATGGATTAGGTTCAGCCTTAGGGGAGCCTGAACCAAAGGGAGAGGAATACAGGCACACCTCCTTTTATTGGGTCTGGCAGATATCACATTTTTTACAGATTGGAAGTTTGTGGCCACCCCATGTCGAGTAAGTAAGTCTATCTCAACCTTTTCCCAACAGCATGTACTCACATTGTGTTTCTGTGTCACATTTTGGTAATTCTCACAGTATTTTAAACGTTTTCATCATTATTATATCTGTTATGGCGATCTGTGATCAGTGACCTTTGATATTATTATTGTAATTGTTTTGGGGCACACGAACGGCGTCCGTATAAGACAGCAAACTTGATTGATAAATGTTGTGTGTGTTGTGACTACTCTCAGGTAGGCTATTCCAGTGTTCCTCCTCCTCCTCAGGCCTCCCTATTCCCTGAGACACAAAGATATTGAAATTAGGCCAATTAATAACTTCACAATGGCTTCTAAGTGTTCAAGTGAAAGGAAGAATCAATCGAGACAGCAAACTTCATTATTGTCTTATTTTTTAAATTGCCTCAGGCACCCCAGCCTTCATCAATCACCACCCTGATTAGTCAGCGGTCACCGTGAGGGAAGATCCTTTACCAGTAAAAAGACTTTTAATTAAAGTATGTACATTTTTTTTTTACATAATACTATGCACATTTAATAGACTACAGTATAGGGTGAATATAACTTTTATATCCACTGAGAAACCAAAAAATCTGTGTGTATTACTTTGTTGTGACATTGGCTTTATTGTGGTGGTTTGGAACTGCACCCACAATATCTTCGAGGTACGCCTGGAGGCTTTTCTTGCATTCTTTGTCACCCCCACCCACTCCAGAGTTTCTGGAAAGATCTCTTAAATAAAAGCTTTAGTAAGGCTCATATCTAGGGACTTCCCTAAAAGTGATTAACAGAGTCTCTTTTAGGAAAAGGTACTCCAAGTACAAAGTAGATATCACATATAGGATACTTACTCATTTCCTCTGTTGCAAAAGAAATGCCTCAAACATGAAAGACTCTTTAAAACACACATTAACACATACTTGTCTAGGAAGAGTTCTTGTCTATACCACAGAGTCCCCAATTCTATTGAATTCCCTTTCCAATTGAAAGGGGAGAAATACCCGGCACAATTTAGCCCATTCTGTGGGCACCCTGTACCTGAAAGCAGTGGGCCCTGGATTTATTGTTAGCATCTATTCTTGCCAAACTAGAAGAAATTCCTGCTCCCCTTCTCTTCCCCCCCCAGCTGATGTCAGGCTGTGCCAAGGCTCATCTTAAAATGACAGGCATTATGATGGGGGCTGATAAAATTTGTCTCGTCAGTGAATTTCTAGAAATCCTTCTAAAGCCAAGGTTCAGAATAAACTACAGCCTGCTGGGTTTGGACTGTGGCTTACAAAGCTGAGCTTCTTCAGGAGTGAAGGGCTGCCTGCCCTTCGCCTTTCCCAGCGCTCTAGCTGTGGAACAAATGGTCCCAGGGTTCCCTGGGTTCCCTGGGACCCTTGGCTGGGTTGATTGATGGACACGGACACACACACACACACACACACACACACACACACACACACACACACTGCAATTTCGAAGGTGCTTCTGGATGTAAAAACACCACTAAAGTAGTAACTGTAATCAGTTAGCCACAGGAGCCATTATAGCTCTGCTGTTTACAGATATTCCTGCAGAAATCACAGATACTTAAAGCAGAGAGTTCAGCCTGGCCTATTAGGATTTCAATTGGCTGCTTCTGGCTGCGTAGATTACCCACGCGGCTCAGAAATGTCAACCGTGGAGAGCTACCTCCCTACAAAAATGAACCCCAAACTAGACCTCTTCCCTCCAAAGAACCACCTGGTGGTAAGAGAGTCCAGAGGAAAGGTTAACACTGAAAAGGCAGGTTTTAAAATGAGAAATTCAGAAAAACTTAGGAAGGCTCATATGAGCTGCTACAGAGAAAAATGAGCAGAATCAGATGAGCCATTTTTAGAGTAACCACAATAATGGGAAGAAAGCAACCCTGCAAAATGTCAGAACTCTGGTGAGGGTAGCTGGTGGCTAAGGCTTCGGTGAGCTGTTGAAGCCTGCAACGTGCTGAGTTCAGGCTCTCTTCCTATCTGGGTAACCTGCCTGGTTTTCAGTTTCAAACAATTGCCAAATGTGAGGATCAGGCCAAACGACTTTGAAGGTATACTGTCCAACATTGACAAAATGGGTATATTGTGAGGTCCTAGGGGACAGAGTTATTGGGAATTGATAGTGATATAATAAAAGAGTGCCGGTAAGATACTTAATAATTTAAAAGAACAGTAATAGAAATGTTTTTTAAAGAGCAAATTTAAAACATATGCAATTTATTCTTGCCATAGTTTTAAGCTAGTGGGGCTAGTTTAAGGTGGCACAGTGGATAGAACCCTGGGCTTGGAATCAGAAAGTGTCATCTTCCTGAGTTCAAATTCAGCCCCATACATGTACTAGCTTTGTGACCCTGGGCAAGTCATTTCATCTGGGTTGCCTCAGTTTTCTTATCTGTAAAATGAGTTGGAGAAGGAAATGGCAAACCACTCCAGTATCTGCCAAGAAAACCCCAAATGGGTGAATGAAGCTGGATCTCAATATGACTGAAAAAAGACTTAACTACAAATAGTTTCAAGCAAATCAGAACATAGTACAATTTGACTTTAATAGTTTATCTCTGTGCATAATATACTCGACTGTCTCATTCTACTGTGGTGGTACCTTTGTGGTCTATTAAAGTAAGTCTCTTAAGTTCAGGGACTACTT